CCACCAAAACAAATTTTTTTAAAATAAAAAAATAAAAGACATGGGGTCAAAGATACATAGCTGATGGCTGGAACCAGTACCCAGGACACCAACCCATTTTCTCTGATCCTCCAACACATGACAAGACTGGGTACAGGAAAAAGCAAAATATGAAGTTAAATCCACGAACGAGACCCTCACGCCACCCAGACCAACCAAGTAAACATACCTCCTTTAAAACAACCCATGTTTCAATCTCCCATTTCTTTTTCAGCCCTTAGCTTACTAAGCTCAAATTCTGATTCTTATCCAGGACTTAATAGATACCCTGGTGGCCTGAACAGTCAGAATCCCAACTCTACCCCAACGTATTGCAGCCTAAGAAGGAAGATCTTTCGGAAGCAGAAGTAGAATATAAGTAGAAGCTCCAGGGCCGGCCCGTGGCTCACTCAGTAGAGTGCGGTGCTGATAACACCAAGGCCACGGGTTCGGATCCTATATAGGGATGGCCGGTTTGCTCACTAGCTGACAACACCAAGCCAAGGGTTGAGATCCCCTTACCGGTCATCTTTTTTTAAAAAAAATAAATAAATAAGTAGAAGCTCCAACTCAGGAATATTCTGGACCATACATCATAAATAAATAAAATAAAACTGATTCTAAATTCAGCAGCGTTTGAAGCTTATGCAGGCAGAAAGGCAACAGGTTACCCAACCAGTAAGAGAAAAATTCAAGAATTAATAACAAAAGGGCCGGCCCGGTGGCGCACTGCTACAGTGCGCCGCTTGGGAGCACGGTGGCGCTACCGCCGAGGGTTCGGATCCCACATACGGACCGGTTCCCGCTCACTGGCTGAGTGAGGTGCGGGCGCAACACCGAGGGTTGCGATCCCGTTGCCGGTCCCGGTCCGGTACAGGCGCGACACTGAGGGTTGCGGTCCGTTGCCAGACACAAAAAAAGACAAAAAGGAAAAAAAAAAAAAAAAAGAATTAATAACAAAGTAGGCTAGAAGAAGGGCAAATGCTATGAGTTTACCTGGAGTTCATATGAGATTAGCTTCCTACTTTCAGTTAGAGCAGAGAATGACCTTTAAGGCAGTTTGTACCATACAAGAAGAGGATACAACCCCAGATGCAAGAGCGAGGTCCTTTGACATTCCCTATGCAAAGGAAATCAGATCTTGATTATCTCCCAAATGACGAACCTTTTGGCTCAGTTATCCACAGGACCCAGGGGCCTCCAGCCAGAGTTGGCCACAGACAAAGCTAAGGTAAGAAGGAAACAATGGTCTAATGTACTTCCTACATTCCCAAATGACGTGGGCATTTAAGCAGAGGCCTTGGTGCCTCAAACAAAGGGAGTGACTAACGCATCTCCTGGCAGGCTGATGGAATTGGTGCTTTTGAACATGTGAGCTGTTTGGCTGCGTGTCAGCCCTTCTCCATCATGTAATGTAAAACTGCTCCAGGATTGGGACAGGCAGAAGGTACAGCTCCAGCATTAGGGGGCAACTGATGAATGCATGAAAAGTATAGCCGAGTTCCAAAATAAAAGTGTTTGGGGGGCCAGCCCGTGGCTTACTTGGGAAGTTTGGTGCTGATAACACCAAGGCCAGGGATTTGGATCCTTACATAGGGATGGCCAGTCAGCTCGCTTGGGAGAGCGTGGTGCTGACAACACCAAGTCAAGGGTTAAGATCCCCTTACCAGTCATCCTTTAAAAAATAAATTAAATAAATAAATAAATAAATAAATAAAAGTATTTGGGAGATTATGTATTATTTTTATGTTATTAAGATCAAGAGTTGGGCCGGCCCGTGGCTCACTCGGTAGAGTGCGGTGCTGATAACACCAAGGCCCCGGGTTCGGATCCCATATAGGGATGGCCGGTTCGCTCACTGGCTGAGCGTGGTGCTGACAACACCAAGTCAAGGGTTAAGATCCCCTTACCGGTCATCTTTAAAAAAAAAAAAAAAAAGTTATACATTTCTTAAATCAGTGCTATCTCACACTAGTTTTTGTAATTATCAGTGCAACTATTATGTAATTCAATAAACTTTCCAGAAATATTTACTATGTAAAGCACAAATTTCAGTGATTTTTGGAAGGCAACTACTTATATACTGACAATTTATATCACTATATACTTGCTGTGAGGATTAAATGATTGTGTATGTCAAGCCCTCAGCTGGACTGTATTATAAGACTTAATCATAAACACCACAAGCACAACCTAACTCTCAGAAGACATTATTATTCTCAAATTACAAATAGGAATTTGAGGCACCACCTTACAATAGAAAAGACAAAAGACCAGAAAAAAGGATTCATTTAAAATACATAATAATTAGTAAACTACCAAACTGAGAAAATATCTCCTTTAAAAGAAAAAATGATACCTCTCATAAGGATGAGATATAATGAAGAAACAAAGGAAGGACAGATAAATGAATGAATGTAAAACTCAGGCAGACTAAACTAAGAATTTAACTTATAGTCAAATGTTAGGGCCCCTAACAGGCAGAACAGGAAGCTGAACAAAAGCTCTTTCTGCCCACTGGGTTCCTAAGAGTCTAAAATGAAGGATTAAAAATGGCTTTATTTCAACGGAGCACATTTTGTCATCTGATCTCTATCCATGACATGGATATGAATAAGTAACTTATGGCTGCACTTGTAAGTGGCAACAAATGCCTGAATATTGTGCCTCATTCACTCTAGGATGGCAAATCACTAAATGCTTATCTTCAGGAAAAAAATCTGTTTATGGCCTTTATTTTAAAATTTAAAAATTTTATTTTTAATTAAAAAATTTTTACATTTTTATTTTAAAAAACACTAAGTGTTCTCAGAAGATACTGACTACAAAGAAGCAATAAGGAAATAAGGATGGGAGACAGAAAGGACACACAGAAGAGACTCAGGGCCTACAGATATAACGATCAGGGAGCACTCAGAGAGACCCCTCTTACTGCTATCAATGGAAGCCCAGTGAACGCATAGGGATGCTTGGAGCTAAAAGGTCAAGGAGAAGCATTCTCTAGATATATATTCCTAAAAGGTGCCATCAATCTGTACCCACTCTAGCAATGTGGGTCCCCCTCCTCACAATCCAATTTCTAGGATTCTATCCTAAAGAAATTAGCAAAGATATATACAAAAGTTAGTATATATACAAAAGAGTCAAAAATACATATAAAAGAAAGTTCATCACAGCATCACTGACAGTAACAAAGAATCTGAAACAACCAAAATTTTCAACAGTGTGGGAACGAATAGTTAAAGTAAGGTAGAACCACCAGAAATCTATTTTCAAAGATTTAAACACACAGGAAATTACCTGTGATACCGTTTTAAGCGAGGGGGAAAAAATAGGATATCAACCTGTATATATGTATGACACTCGACTTTGTTTAAATATTATACATATTATATGCCTTTTTAAATACTAAAAGGAAATCCATAAACATGTCAGCAAAGTTTAGTTCTATTCTAGATGGAGAAAAGACAATGATTTTTATTCTTCCTTTAGACTTTTCTCTAACGAGCTTATATTACTTTTACAGTAGAAAAATACAATATTTTAAAATAGGTCTAAAGTCTCTCATTTAAGATGACAATTGTCAGTCTTAGGGGAAGGCTCAGAGACAGACTCAGAGAATAAAAAGATTCAAATCTACACAGTAACTCTCTTTGAAAAAAGATGAGAGGTCTAGGGTGACACAGTCTAGCTTTTTCCCCTACCTTGCTGTTGGGTCCATTTTCCTGGGCCTTGCAGGAAGCTCTACTGGAGAACCCATTCCTCTTCCCACAGCAACCATTGTACCTTAAATAACCTCTTAAGCGTTTCTCACCTCTTAGCATGAAGATCAGAGAAAAAGAGAAAGAAAGAGCTCTACTCTCTTGTTTCAGAGGAAAAAGACTCCCTTGTAAAGCTATCAAAATGACTCAAAATCTGCTATGCAAATTCTGAAACATAAGTCATGAATCATGTTCAGCAACCATGTGTGAGTCACTTATTTCTCATGAATGCATACAAAAACAAATGTATGAGTGCCATCTTGTGGTAAACCAGACTACTACCATGGCCAAGTACCAGGCTGTCTTCCACTCCCGGGTAACGTAACACAGCCAGGGGCACATGACCCATAATAACCTAATACATTGAGCATACATTCCCCAAAGTGGCTGGTACTATTTGTTTTCAAGGACTTCTGGTTTAGATTCCAGAAATGCCTGTTTGAGGACAAATGAGAATGAAGGGGCGCAAAACACAGGATGTGCCCATGGGTTTGTGGGTTGCTGGAGATGACCATCAGGGTGCACTGTGTGTGGTATATACATGCACACATACCACAGTACTGCCGCGGGGCAGGGACCTACAACATAAATACCTCCTCCCCTAAGGATACTTACCAATTTTATAAAGTTATGAAGAAAAGCTTTACATATACAATCAGTGAGCCTTGTGCTTAGAAGTTTTATTTATCAATGTTAGAATAACCATCACCAACTTGGGCACAATTCCAAAGTAGAGTTCTTGTTGAATTCTGACCATAAAATTCTTCTTTAAGCTTGTTAAGATCTTGTAAAATAAGAAAGTTTTCCTAATACTTTAGAAAAAATACTAATCACTAAAAAGTTGATCTCATACTCAAAGTGGTCGTCTTACATTTTGAAAGATGAAACCCCACCCTTGTGGACATCTATGTATTAATTAATCCCGGTCTCCCAGGCTTCAGAGGAGATGGAGAAGTCCTCACAGTGCAACCTGACCAAATGACTCTGGGAGTGAACTAAGTGCTTAAATGAAGTCAGTGCTGCAAATCTCATGATACACTGAAGGGAGCTGAATTAGTCATGGTTCTCCAGAGAGACAGAATCAATAGGATATGTTATAATTATATGAGAGGGATTTATTAGGGGAATTAGCTCAGACAATTGTGAAGAAAAGTCCCACAATAAGCCATCTATAAACTGGATGCTGGTAGTGTAGCTCAGTCCAAGTCCAAAGGCCTCAAAACTAGGGAAGCTGATGGTGTCATTGGTATAAGTCCCGGAACCCAAAGCTGAAGAGTTGCAAGCTCTGATGTCCACGAACAGAAGAGTGCATCCTAGCTCCAGCAGACAGAGAGAGCTTCACCTTTTCCCTCTATCTTTTGTTCTCTCTGGACACCCAGCATATTGGATGGCTCCCACCCACATCAAGGGTGGGTCTTTCCTACCCAGTCCACTCAGACTCTCATACTAATCTCTGCTGGAAACACCTTCATGGACACACCTAAAAAGATAGCTTTACCAGGTTTCTCAGCATTCCTTCATCTAACCAAGTTAACACGTAGAATTAACCTTCACAGGAGCTGATATTGAGTCTGAGAAAAGATCATCTTCTCCTCCGAAAGGGATTAAGGTAAAAACCTCGCAGTTCTGGGCAGGAGGAGACAACAAGCAGGCAACAGACAGCAGGAAGGAAAAAGCTGAGCAAATAACCAAAGTTCTGTTGGGAGATGGTGTTTATGGCTCTCTCTGCCCCACCCAGGTTAGAGGCTTTTATTTCCAGAAAAGGATTTCCCCAGTGTTAGGGTGGAAGCACATGGCAGGAAGTTGTTGCTTTGGTCCTGGATGGGTAAAGGGGAACATTTTCAAGTATGTGAAATAAACTGAAAGAACCCAGATGAGATGCATCCCAACCAAATAAGTCATGGGACAGCATTAAGCCAAAGAAATTACAATCATGATGCTGAATTGGGAAAATGAATCTGACTTCTTGTTCACTTCTCCAACCTCTGAAAGAACTTCTTCTCCCTTCCTGACTTGACAGGATTGACATTCTGGACAGCCCCTGTTAGAGATAAACCAACATACTGGACAAGGAAGAAATGTATTAAAATTTTTTTCTGAGAGTCTTGACAAGTCACTTCAGGGAGAATTCTTCATCTTCCCTCTGCACAGGGAAAGCAGAAGGGGGAGAGTAAAAATAAAGGCCAAGTTCTCTCTTGTCCACAAAAATAAAAGGGAGGAAAAAAGAATACTGACCCTGCCCAATTAAGATTCAAAACCATAAGCTTCCTTAAAAACAACAGCCTTGCTTCACCAGAAACATCCTGGGATTAGTATAGGTTAGTACTCTGAGTTGTGTCACCTAGGCTTTGACAATTAATGATGTATTAAAACAGGAGATGGTGACTTTTCAACCTTGGCTCCAGCTGCCCATCTGTCCTAACCTGGGAAGAAAGTAACTATCACGATAGCTTGATGGGAAGGTCTTCCCCATATTTCCGGAGCAGCTTCTGATGGTTGTGGTCCACTGACCACTGCTGGGGCAGATGCTTGGGCTGCATGGAGTCCAGGAAGTGCTGACGCCAGCGGCTCTCCAGCTGCATGAGGGAGTGCAGCCCACCCTGGGTGTGACACTGCACCACCTTCAGCCCGTGAGGAACATAGTTTTCATTGGAAATCCTGCCAAGACACGAAGTACATAGGGTCTGAGGGAAACAAGCACAGGACAGTCTCACAGACAGCTTCAAATGCTGTAGGCCAAGGATATATGTGGAGGTTGCTAGACTCCTAAAGTGTTGGTTACTTTAATGTTTGCAAAACATCTTCTTTCTCGTCTCTGGTTTTTTTTATATTTTGGACATATGGCTCACAATCCAACAAAAGGCATTTGGGAGCTTTGAGCTATACTTTATGGAAAAGCCACTGTATAACGCTCAGCCCCCACTACAGGGGCCCTACCGCCTGGCTAATGATGGATGAAGAATGTTGTTCTTTCATTTATTGCAAGGTTAGGCTAGTTGGCTAACTTGGTTGGTTACAGTGTGGTGCTGAAAACACCAAGGTCAAGGGTTCAATCCCTTTACTGCCAGCCAGAAAAAGAAAACAAAAACAAAAAACAAAAAACCCCACCTAATTCCAAGGTTACTCAGTGACCAGCTCACCCTTCTTTTAAGTTATTCATTCTGAGCCATACTCAGTATTTATATAAGGCTATTAAATTAGCCCACATGTTCCAGTTTTTCATAACACAGTGTAATATCTGACTGTAAAATACAAGGTAGCACATTTCTTTACTGTCTTCTTTCTCACGAAAAGAATGCCAAACCAGATCAATGAGAAGTGTTTCAGCTATAATGCTACCATGGTTGCTCAATTGAGCAAATAAATGGTGCTACTGAATACGAAAATGAATCCTTGACTCCTTACTAATTAAGCAGAAAGGCCTTAAAAACTGCTCTGATGCCATGTGAACAGTACTTCTTCCTCCTGTGAATAAAAATGACCTCTCTCAAGGAAGCACTCTGCCCCCACAGACTTTCCTCTCCCTACATCCACACCCCAGTCTCAATGCTCCCCCCACAAGACCTCCACCAGTCTCACTAGTCTCACAGTGTTAGTACCCTCTGGGTATTTGCAGACATTTTATTACTTAGCTCATAAGCTTTCCACTAACTTTCCTATCTCCAAACTGCTATTCTTTTCAGTCCCAAGTCTAGCATCCAGCTGTCCAATTCAGCAAGATGAATTTGTTAGAAAAGCTTGTGGCTGAAAGGGGAGGTTTAGCTGTCTTAGGAAATACATTTGGGAGTTGGTTAAAGAAGCCAGTTTCACTAATTTGTAATATGACTTGCCAAGTTACTTAACTTTAACCTCAGGATATCTAATATAAAACTTAGAAAATAACATCTATTCTACAACCTCACAGAATAGTTATGGGGATACAAATCTAAACTCTACCTCATTAGGTTGTTATAAGAAATAATCAAGGAAATTTATGTAACGTTTATTAGCTTGGTGCTGCAAGTTACAGTATATCTATAAATATCTGAGGCTGGCCGGTTAGCTCAGTTGGTTAGAGCGTGGTGTTGATAACACCAAGGACAAGGGTTCGGATCCCTATACTAGCAGAGGGAGAAAAAGGTTATATAAATATCTGTTCAATAAATATTTGCGGGGCCGGCCCGGTGGCACACTGCTACAGTGCGCCTCTTGCTCCCGCCAAGGGTTCGGATCCCACATACAGACCGGTTCCCACTCACTGGCTGAGCGAGGGGCGGGCGCAGCACCGAGGGTTGCGATCCCGTTGCCGGTCCCGGTCCAGTACGGGCGCGACACTGAGGGTTGCGGTCCGTTGCCAGACACGAAAAAAGACAAAAAGGAAAAAAATAAAAATAAATAAATAAATAAATATTTGCAATATCTATGAGGATTAGTAGCATGAGTGAAACATTTTTGGTTTTGAAAATAAATAAGTAAATATTTGCTGCTATAATTTAAGTGGGGTTTTTTGTTGTTGTTGTTTTGTGTTTTGGCAATGGGCATAGTTTATTCCACTTCATGTAGACACTGAAAATTTTTGTTTTTTCAAATTGATAACAAAACCACTATAGGAAACCAGCATTACTATCAGGGCTTTGTGAACTTATCAGTTCAATTACTTCAACCCCTAGTACTGTTGAAAAAGTGACAGTTGGTAAGCCAAACTATGCACGGTAGCCCAGAGTTCTCATCGTCTGAGCTATGTGTCCATCCCTTTCTCAGGACCATAAACTTCCCATTTAGGAACACTGAGTTACGACATATGAATTCAAATATGTACTGAAAGGGAAAGAGGGAGAATGCAAGGAAGGAAGAAAAAAGAGAAAAGTAACTTAAATAGTAATGGTAATTCTGCCCAACATTCCATTCACTGGACCAGTCACCCTGGAGCACAGGTGAGACAGGAAACATGCACCCACTGGCTGCAATTCTCATAGACCTATATAAGATCAGAGACACAAAACCATATATACTGTACTTGCTGGGCAACTTCAGAGATTTGAGCGTATTACTGCACTATTATTTTCATCTAATATACTAATTTTAGGATTTCCCTCTGCACAGAATGTATAAGACACAACTCCACAGCATTTGAACTGTCATGCTAATCATGAAAATGACTGGACGTATGTATATGACCTTAATAGGTCAAGGATAGACACCTCACGAAAGGCAAGTCTCTTATGGAAAGGAAATTCTCAAATAGAGAGTTTTAACCCACTCCCACAGCATTTTCCACCATTAGACACTTAATGGGCTAGATGTAAGGCTAGGCACTGTACCTAAGTGGCAATGTCCTCTCCCTGGCATGCATTCTCATGAACTAATGAGGGTTAATGTCAGCGGGTTATTCCCCAATCCCTTCTTTGACCAGAACTGGACATTTTACCTGGTTTCTAGGCTGGCAGCTTCCTGCAGCATCTCATCTGTGACCGTGTCTGTGTTATAAAATTCTCTGAGTGCTTGCAGTAGCTCTTCCTTTCGATCAGCCGGCAGGCTCTCTGCGTTGAGCAGGGCCCTGGCCCCAGAACGCACCTGCCGGCGCTCAGGATCTTCCAGCAGGCGCAAGCCCTCCTCAGAGCCAAAGGGGGCCTGGAACTCCTTGGCCAGCTGCTGCTTCAAATGCTTGTCATAGTAGTTGGAGATGGCATGGCAGGATGTGCAGAGCAGCAGCACATCATGGGAGTTGTGGTCCTTCATCTCAATGGGAAAGTGCTTCCGGTACTCATGTGGAATCACATTCTTCCTGGAGCACACCCACCCAGAAAGCAGTGCTCATTAGCATATGACATGGAGTACACATGAAGCTACAGGTGGGCTACTGGGATTCTAATCTGTGCCTAAACATGACTGAGAAGGCTTGGGCACCATAACCCAACAGATTACATAAAGACAATACTACCTGTTCCACTCTCAGCCCTACCTGTACCTTAAGTTCCTACCTACCTGCCTGCCTTACCCACCTATGCGTGTCTTAGGTTCCTCTCTCCTGAAGTATGTACAGACAACTGCTGTCAGGCTTTAACAGAGGCCAGGATAGGGTGAGGTTAAGAACAACCTTTGAGGGGCCAGCCCGTGGCTCACTTGGGAGAGTGCGGCACTGGTAGCGCTGAGGCCGCAGGTTCGGATCCTATATAGGGATGGCCGGTGCGCTCACTGGCTGAGCATGGTGCAGACCACACCATGCCGAGGGTTGCTATCCCCTTACCAGTCAGGAAAATAAAAAAGAACGACCTTTGAGAAAGCTGTGCTCCCAGAAGGAAAAGTCTCAGAGAAATGAAAAGATACTGTAATGACCTTTGATGTCTAGAAAACAATCTTTGAAGAAGCCTGGTGACCTGAAAAAGCCAATTTCCTTCATCTGAGGAATTCCCTACCCTGACTTTATTTCCCTAATTTACCAAGGTCAACCATAATTTTCTTTCTTTTTTTTTTTTTTTGTCTTTTTCGTGACCGGTAAGGGGATCACAAGCCTTGGTGTGGTGTCGCCCACACCGCGCTCAGCCAGTGAGCACACCGACCAGTCCTATATAGGATCCGAACCTGTGGCAGGAGCGTCGCTGCGCTCCCAGCGCCGCACTCTCCCGAGTGCACCACGGGGCCTGCCCTCAACCATAATTTTCTAAGAACTAAGCTCTCAGGAAAAACTCCTGGTAGAAACAACTACTTGCCTCACTTTGAGGGGGTGAAAGGAGGAAAGTGAACTCCTCCACAGAAGCCAGGGAGCAAGCCCAAGTGTCTGGGCACTCAGGCCTAGTAGGCAGCCTCTCCTTCTCTGTGTGGGGACCCTGATATGAAATAGTATTACAGCCCAGAGCAGCCTTCAGGTCATACGGACACCCCATCAATAATACCAAGGATCAGACAGCTTGTGAGCCACTCAAGGAAGGATTATGAGGACACATCTGCTGACAGAATTGGTCTTTAGTCCTTAATGAGCAAAACACAACTGCTCTCTCCATGGCAGACTGTTACTGAGAATAGTGTTGCATTCCAGAAACTGGCTCAAGAGTGGGTAGGGAGCACTATTGCAAGGCCAGGCAAAGTGTCGAAGCTCTTGGGGAAACTGTAGTGCCCCCTAGGGACAAGCTTCTCAGCCAAAGTGGACAGACTCAACCAAGGCCTCTGAAAGCTCAGTGTGTGGCTACAAAGGCAATTTCCATCAGAGGCAGACAATCAAGGTAGCCCAACATCACACTCACCGAATGTAGGAGTCTCTCTTGCCACACACTACACACAGATTCTCTTTAACCATCAAGTAATAGTCTCCTGGGGATTCAGGTCTTCCTGCGGGTTCAAACTGTAGCTTGACCACAAAAGGCTCTTCACTCACCAATTCTTAGAGAAAAGAAGCGTTAGTGTTTGATCCCCTCACCTCCCCACCCCAACCCCTGGAAGAAGCTCCACCTTAACTGTTCTCTGCTGTGTCCTGGCAGAGAACACTATTTGTGGGTTGTAACTATCCAGTCCCACCTGTCTCAAGGTCTCTCTGCCTTCTTCTATCCATCCCTCCTACTCATCTCACTCCCCACTCCTGCCATTACCCTTATGCAATAGATAAACTATGACAGTTGAATCTCACACCTCCAATGCCTTTGTCCAGGTACCACTGAGCTTTTCTTCGATCACAAGTACAGAGGGGCTGTCCATCAGGAGCATGAAGAAAGCAGTTATCATACAGAGGTGATTTTCTGCAGGGAAGGGAGAAATAAATCTCAAACTGAAAACTAACTGTTGGTCAAGGTATCAGTCTTCTGAGTGACTCAAACTATTCTCAACTCTAGGGTCAAATATACCAATTATGGAAGAAACAAACAGGGCAAGAATCCATGTTTAACCCTCCATCTGCTTTGGGCTAGGAAACAGAACTAAAAATGAATCAGTTTATGCCTCTAATTTCTATACTTACTGGACTGGGGCATTAAGGAGTGAGTTAGATGGTGTTCACATAGCTCTGCTGTGAACACAAACAGGAACAAAGCAAAAAGAAAACTGCCAAATCATTGGATTAAACAAAGTAAATTAAAATTTTAGAAGTTCAAGCTAAAGTAATGAGAGCCATGTGGATTTATTTTAGCTCACATGCAATATTTCCTTCAATTTAATCGTCTAATTCCTAAAGACCCTTTCCTACAGGGACAAAACTTCTGCTTCCAAAGTACTTATTATTAATCCTCCTAAAATAGAAGTATAAATTGTACAGGAAAATCCCCATTGGCTAGAGAATAACATTAGCTTAGAGCTGGATATCATTCTAAATAATTAAATACTAAATGAACAAGAAATCAGATTATGCATTTTTCCTGAAAAACATGAGGCACATCATGTTATTCATTTTCACAGTTATCCTGAAACGAGCAAGGAATAATAATTATACCCTCATTTACAGCTGGAGAAGTTACAGGTCTAAGGCCTCATCAGGGTCAGTGACAAAGCTAAGCTTTCCTCATTTCCACTCCACTTGTTGAAAAATTAAAAAGTAAAAGAAGGGGGAAAGGAGAAAAATACACAAATAAAACAAAGGGTAGTCCAAATGTCCCTGAAGGATAGAAAGGGTAAAATTAACCCCTGGAGAACCTCTGCTACCTTACCACAAACCTCCTTCCCAGACCCTAGGTGAAGCATCACACTCTTTACTGGAGGCTGGGACACTGATTTTACTAGCCAGGGAACAACTCAGTTACCTGGCAGAATAGCCCACCCCCAAGGGCTTTCTTTTATGTCTTCTGGGGTCTCTCCCTTCATGGTTGCCTGACACCGGTCCATCAACCTTAGACTTCTTATTTCTTGGCTTCTGCTGAGATTCTGTTTCTTCCCCATTAACCTCTTCTCCCAATCTGCTAATTCCTTTGCTTCGGAATGGGATGTCTACCACATCCTGGCATTTCTCCAAGACTTTTCTCCAGCCAATGTGGTCATCGTTTTCTTGTACAGGTGAATTCCTAGAGAAAGGGTATCCAAGAAGATGGAGAAAGAGAGCCACTGAAATCTGGGCATCCCTGGCAGCATAAATTACCTGAAGAAAAAAGTCAGAGATCAGTGGAATCTGGAAGGCAAACCAGAAAGAGCAACTTCAAAGTCAATCACAAAGATATAAATAACTTTTAGGATCCTAATCAATATGTGCAATAACCTAGATACCATGTAGTCCTTTAAAACTTTTTATTATGAAAAATTTCAAACTATACAAAAGTAAATTGAATAATATAATGAACTCTAGTGTTCCCTGTTTTTAACTGAAAGAGCTAAAATAATGACTTACTCTGAATGTTGGAAAATCCTAATCCACATAAATCAGTGAAGTTTCTTTTTATCTGCTATAAACTGCTGGACAGATTTTTCTCAAATTTGGGGGAGGGAGACAAAGGTCTGACAATTAGTATATGAAATTCACTTCTAGTCACCCTCTAGAATAGCTGAAACCATAACTCATTAAGAGATCTGTGTGACTGCAGATTTGTGTTTTTTCCTGACCAGCCATATCTACTAATAAAATGGTTTTTTTTTTTTTTTCCCTTTTCGTCTTTTTTTTCGTGTCCGGCAACGGGATCGCAAACCTCACTGCTGCACCTGCACCTCGCTCAGCCAATGAGTGGGAACCGGTCTGTATGTGGGATCCGAACCCTCGGCGGGAGCGCCACCACGCTTCCCAAGCGGGGCACTGTAGCAGTGCGCCACCAGGCCGGCCCTCTACTAATAAAATGTTAAAAACAAGAAAAACAAATGGGTTTCAAACACAGGCCTCAAATCAAAAGTCACAGGGCCCATTTCCGGAATTTGTTTATTTAATAATGTTAAGTCATTCTCCCAAGCAACTGGTAACAGGCAAGCTGGTCATAAACAAAAATAATCAAAACTAAAACCAATAGCTTTTCCCAACAAAGGGTTGTAAGGACTTTAAAATTCCTTTAATTCACCTTTAATAACCAATCCAGGTAAATAATTCTATTAGCAAGGATTTTTTAGGTTTTAGAATAAACAAATTTGGATAAAATTTTCCACCTAGATCCAGCAATCAACATATGTATCAGCAGATGGTATCCCACAGGAAAAGAGTGTGCTTGAACTTGAAGAGTTCAAAGTGCTTTTTATTTTTTTATTTTTTAAAAGATGACCGGTAAGGGGATCTTAACCCTTGATTTGGTGTTGTCAGCACTGCACTCTTCCAAGTCAGCTAACTAGCCATCCCTGTATAGGGATCCAAACCTGTGGCCTTGGTATTATTAGCACCACACTCTCTCAAGTGAGCCTCAAAGTGCTTCTTTTTTTTAAAAAAAAGATGACCGGTAAGGGGATCTTAACCCTTGACATGGTGTTGTCAGCACCACGCTCACCCAGTGAGCGAACTGGCCATCCCTATATGGGATCTGAACCCATGGCCTTGGTGTTATCAGCACCGCACTCTACCAAGTGAGCCACGGGCCGGCCCTCAAAGTGCTTCTTAACACATAATTTTCAAATGATATAGAAACAAAAGTACTTTCAACAAGATGGTGCTGGGACAACCAGATGTTCACAAGCAAAAGAATGAATCAGGACCCCTACCTCACATGACACACAAAAATTAACTCAAAACGAATCATAGACCTAAATGCAGGAGTGAAAACTAGAAGACTCTTAGGGTAAATTTTCATGACTTTGGCTTAGGCAATGATTTCTTGGATATGACATCAAAAGCATAAGCAATAAAAGAAAAAATAGATAACTGGAGCTCATCAAAATTGAAAACTTTTCTGCTTCAAATGACTCCATCAAGGGCCGGCCCGTGGCTCACTCGGGAGAGTGCGGTGCTGATGACACCAAGGCCCCGGGTTCGGATCCCATATAGGGATGGCTGGTTCAAGTCAAGGGTTAAGATCCCCTTACCAGTCATCTTTAAAAAAAAAAAAAAAAAAAGACTCCATCAAGAAAGTGAAAAGACAGGGGTCGGCCTGTGGCTTACTGGGGAGAGTGTGGTGCTGATAACACCAAGACCAAGGGTTTGGATCCCTATATAGGGATGGCCAGTTAGCTCATTTGGGAGAGTGTGGTGCTGACAACACCAAGTCAAGGGTTAAGATCCCCTTACTGGTCATCTTTAAAAAAAAAGTGAAAAGACAAACTGCAGAATGGGAGAAAATACATATCTCATAAGGGACTAGTATCCAGAATATATAAAGATCTTTTAGAACTCAACAATAAAAAGACAAATGACCCAATTAAAATATGGGCAAAGGATCTGAATAGACATTTCTCCAGAGATATACAAATGGCCTATAAGCACATGGAAAGATGCTCAGCATCATTAGCCACTAGGAAAATGTAAATCAAAACCATAATGAAGGGCCGGCCCGTAGCTCACTCGGTAGAGTGCGGTGCTGATAACACCAAGGCCCCCGGTTCGGATCCCATATAGGGATGGCCGGTTCTCTCACTGGCTGAGCGTGGTGCTGACAACACCAAGTCAAGGGTTAAGATCCCCTTACCGGCCATCTTTTTGAAAAAAAAAAAAAAACCATAATGAAGTATCACTTCACACCCACTAGGATGGCTCTAATCAAAAAGACTGACAACACAAGTGTTGGGGAGGATGTGGAAAATTGGAACACTCATATACTGCTGGTGGGAATATAAAATGGTGCAGCAACTTTGGAAAGCAGTTTGGCAGTTCCTCAGTTAAACAGAAAGTTACCATATAACCCAGCAATTCCACTCTTAGCTATATATCTGAGAGAGAAGAAAATATACATCCATACAAAAATTCATACCCAGATGTTTATAGTGGCATTATCCTTAATAGCCAAAAAGTGGAAGCAACCCAACTCTCCATCAATTGATGAATGAATAAACAAAATGTTGTACATCCATACAATGGAGTTTTATTTAGCAATAAAAAGAAATGAAGTATTAATAAATGCTATAACATGGGTAAACCACAAAAAAACATGATAAATGAAAAAAAACAATCACGAAAGACCGCCTATTGTATGACTCCACTTAGATGAAATGTCCAGAATAGGAAAACCTACAGAAACAGAAAGCAGATTGGTGGTGGCCTAGGGCTGGGATATCGGGATAAGAATGGGATGTTACTGCTAATGCGTATGGGGTTTCTTTTTTGCAGGTGATGAAAATGTTCTAAAATTAGATTGTGGTGATGATCGCACCACTCTAAATATACTAAAATCCATTGTTTGGTATACTTTAAATGGGTAAATTCTATTACACATAAATTACATCTCAATAAAACTGTTAACAAATAAAAAAAAAAGGAAAGGTACCAAGGCACAAAGTAACAACTTACTCAGGGTCACAGTAAATCAGAAATTGCTATAGAAAACAAAGAGATAATCTGATTCCTAGAACCATATTCCTTGACCACCAACACCTTTTCCCCACTCAGCTACCAGAATATAGGCAGCAGGGCTTATACCTCTTAGGTAGAAGACCAGAAGATTCATCTCAGGAGAGGCTAAGTACCTTGAATGAAAAGACTTACAGTAACTGACATTTGACTGTAATCCATAGTTACAATGAAGCTCACTAGTCCAAAATCCACAGGCCATATGTGCTGTGCTCTAAATACGTTTAAAAAATTTTTATTTTTAAACTGACACATAATTGTACATATTTATGGAGTACAATCTGATGTTTCGATACATGTATATACTACACAGTGTTTAAATCAGGGTGGTTAGCATATCCATTACCTTATGCACTTATTTTTTCATGGTGAAAATATTTAAAAAGTTCTGTTCTGGCTTTTTTTTTTTAATTGACATGTAATAATTGTACATATTTATGGGGTATAGAGTTATATTTCAATACATGCATACAATGTGTGATGATCAAATCAGGGTAATTAGCACATCCATCATCACAAAAATTTATCATTTCTTTGTGGTGAGAGCATTTGAGTTCCTCTCTTCTAGCCATTTGAAAACATACAATAAATTATTGGGTTGTTTTTTTTTCCTTTTTGTGTTTTTTCCTGACTGGTAACGGGATCGCAACCCTTGGTGTCGTGCCCGGTTACAGTGACCAGCAACGGGATCGCAACCCTCGGCGTCGCGCCCGCACCGCGCTCAGCCAGTGAGCAGACCGGTCTCCACATGGGATCCGAACCCTCAGCGGGAGCGCCGCCATGCTCCCAAGCGCCGCACTCAACCAAGTGCGCCACCGGGCCGGCCCAATAAATTATTGTTAATTATAGACACCTATCACTACTGTACACCACTACAGCTTACTTTTCCTGTCTAGCTGTAATCTGTATTCATTAACCAACCTCTCCCTATCCCTACTCCCCCTACCTTTCCCAGCCTCTAGTAACCACAATTCTACTCTGCACTTCTATAACTATTTTTTTTTAAGCTCCCACATATGAATGAGAACATGTGATATTTATCCTTCTGTGTCTGACATTTCACTTAAGATGATGTCTTCCAGGCTCATCCATGTTGCCACAAATGACTGGATTTCATCCATTTTTATGGTTAAGTATTCCATTGTGTATATACATTTTATCCAGTCATCTGTCAATGAACACCTAGGTTGATTCCGTATCTTGGCTATTGTGAATAGTGCTGCAATAGACATGGGAGTGCAGATACCTCTTTGGTATACTAATTTCCTTTCTTTTGGATAAATACCCAATAGTAGGATTGCCTGATCATATGTAGTTCTATTTCTAGTTTTTTGAGGAATCTCCATACTGTTTTCTATAATAGCTGTTTTAATTTACATTCCTACCAACAGTATGTAAGGATTCCCTTTTCTCTGCATCCTCACCACCATTTGCTATATTTTTGTCATTTTCATAATAGCCATTCTAACTGAGCTAAGATGTCTCATTATGCATTTCCCTGATAATTAGTACTGTTGAGTATATTTTTATATACCTGTTGACCATTTTTATGTCTTCTTTTGAGAAATGTCTACTCAGGTCATTTGCCCATTTTTAATGTTTCTTTTTTTTTTTTTTTTGCTTTTAAGTTCCTTATATATTATGAATTTTAATCCCTTGTCAGATGAATAGTT